ATGCATGTACGCATGTATGCATCTATGCATGTATGCATGTATGCATATATGCATGTATGTATGCATGCATGCATGCATGCATGCATGCATGCATGCATGCATGCATGCATGCATATATGTATGTAATGTAATGTAATGTAATGTAATGTAACGTCATGTCACGTGATGTGGTGTGATGTGATGTGATGCGATGTGATGTGATGTAATGCATGGTATGTATGTATGATTGTATTTATGTATTCATGCATGCATGCACATAGGTATGCACGTATCTATTTATGTGTAGCTCTTGCAAAAAACACACATATAAATACACCTTCGTGTATGTAATAAAGGATACAGCTATGCCTAGGTACATGTGTATGCACACCTATACATACATATTCGCGTATGTACACACACACATATAAACATATATACTCATATGTGTAAGTGCTTGCTGCTAAGATATAGCAGGCAATCAGCGGCTGCCACTGGTTTTGAAGGAACTGCAGCTGGGGGAAGCACACGGTCGCTAAAGTTTTGTTGGACGCATTTGCTCCCGATCGGCATGCAGCAGCTGATGGCCAGCGCATGAGATCATACGTTGAAACTCAACAATAACTGAGAATCTGATAGATGGTCTAGACCAATGCCGGTCTTAGCACATGAGCTATAGTCGCTAGCCTGTCAGAAAGTCAGAAAGCATGTAAAAGCGTCGTGCAATCATTCAGTCATCCCTCTGAAATGTGACCATGGCCCCAATACCCCAAGCACCACAGCTGAGATACTCGGAGCTCTCATCGAGGGTTCGGCGATGCCAATCTGCGCCATTGCATTGGTGGGATCCATGGACTCCTTCTTCAAGCTCTCTGCGGCTGGTTCGAGCGTTCATTATAGTTCATTAGTTACCCCTAATGGAGAATCAAATGGCAGGGGCAATGGAAAATCAAGGCGGAGGTGGGTATATTCACAGATGTTAAAGGGATGCTGTAATGTAGGGGCCGAAATGATATCCGATATCGTGTGAGGCCCATGTCAGTAACCTATACCACAGTTGCAGAAAGAATCTGAGACCACAATATTAGTGATTATTGTGGCTTCTACGTTTCCCCTGCTTTAGCTACTGCCTTTCTTACGGCCAGAATCATTTTAGGGATTTATCGAAGTCGAAGTGTTTATCGATCTGCCTGGCTGGTGTGAGTGTGTAGGGTGCGAGGAGCGTCCATACTTGAGGGTTCATCTATGTATACCTGCGGTCAGAACTGTCATAAATCATAACCTTACATATAGTTGAGATAACCTAGATAAGGCCAGGTGGGTACGGCTATAAGTAGGCTTAGAATCCAGTTATGTAATGAGTTAGTAAGTCCCATGAACCCTAACCTTTAAACCCAGGTGGAGCCCCTCCGGGACGAGGCCCGCGAGGATATCGCCTTCCTCTGCTTTGTCTTCCTGATCATTGCAGCCTCCGTGCTGGCCGGGCGTGGAGATTCATGTTTAGCCCTAAGGGCCCAAATACCCCAATATCGGGGTTTGAGGTACCCTAAAGCCTCATCATTAGGGATTGATGTGTAGGGTCTAGGGTAAAGCTTGGGTACTGCCCCCTCTCTGTAACAGTTGGATAATATTCATAATATAGTTGTATATGGCCCTTAAAAATGACCCCTAACACAGACTGCTACAAGGTGGGGGGCAGTATCCAAGGTTTAGGGTTTAAGGTTCACGTTTCGCGGTTTTGGCGGAGGGGTTATAGGGCTCGTTCTAGGGAACATCTGGCGGGGCTTACAAGAGCCGGGCTTACAGAGATTTGTCCTGCTTTAGTGTTCTTGGTGAAGGCTCCGATTCCCGATGACGCCCTGGACCCCGCAACCATAAGAGTGAACCAACTAAGACCCTCCCTATGCCTTCAATTGGAGCTATGTGTTGCCTAACAGTGGGCACTTAGCACATCCCTAAACCCCTACATCCCTAAACCCTCCATCTTGTGGGGATCTGTAGCAGGTTGGATGTGTCATTGAGCATGGTGGCTTTGCTGTCCTGGCCGAGTCTATGACGCAGAGGCTGCGTAAGAGAGGGTTTGGAACCAATAGGGTTTAGGGTGTGATTAGGGGCATACTATTTTGCAGGCCACTCATATGAGTTTTTTTTTTCTGTGGCTTCAGTAGTTGGGGTGCCGGAATCGCATCACCACTGTGGAGCTTAGCATAATGGCCCCTCTACGTAGATCCTGAACCCCAAAAACCCGAAACTCTAACTAGCAAACCGCGGGCCTCTAGAACCGCCAACCCTCTCAGCCCCTAGACCTTGGGGCCGGGCTTAGGGTTTAAGGTTTAGGGGTTTAGGGTTTAGGTGTTAAGTGTTTAGGGTTCTTGGCCGAATAAGATTTGACATGTTTGTGTATGCCAGAACCTGGCATAAACCTAGAGTAGCCCGTATAAACCGCTAAAATGTAATAGATTCCATTTCTCTTCCATTTCCTACACCCCGAACCCTTAGTGAACCTGTAGACTCCCGAACCCTAATCCCCAGACCCTACCTCAGAAGCCCAACACCCTAAAACCCTAAACCCTAAATCCTTCAAACCCCACACCCAAATCCTTAACCCCCAAACCCATATAAACCCTAAACCCAGAAAACCCTAAATCCTTAACCCCCCAAAACCACATATCCCTAAACCCTAAACCCCTAAACCCTAAATCCTTATCCTCCAAACCCATATATCCCTAAACCCTAAACCCCTAAACCCTAAATCCTTAACCCCCAAAACCCATATATATATATATATATACCTTAAGCCCCATTGCAGAGGCTGCGCGTCGCCATCCTCAAGTCCATCTTCCGCCAGGAGATCGGGTTTCACGATGACCCAGAGAACACCCCAGGCCTTCTCTAGGGTCTGGGGGTCGGATTTAAGGTTTAGGATTTAGGGTGTAGGTTTTACGGTTTAGAATTTAGGGTTTGGGGTTTAGGGTGCAGGGTTTGGGGTTTAGGATTTAGGGTGTGGGGTTTAGGATTTAGGGCTTTGCGCTTGGGGTTAGCTCTGACTACCCTAGGCCCCAACCCTAAGCCCCGATTAAACCCAAAGCCCTAAGCTTCACGGGGATTCCCAGACCAAAATGGATCCCAATACTCTCTACTCTTGATTCTAGGGACTCCCCAAACCCAAACTATACACTCTAAACCCCCAAACCCTAAACCCTCAGCCCCAAACCCTATAAGCCCTAAGCCCCAAACCCTAAACCCTAGACCCTAAACCCCCAACCCTAATATTTCCTACATCACGCCCTGAAGGCATGATGTCCAAGGCACTGGAGCTTTGGGCCTTCCGTGTCAGCACGCTTTGCAAGTCTATCGGAGCCAAGGCCTTCGGAGTCAGAATATTTTGTACTAGCTTGTTGGTGGGTGTTGCAGCGTTTTAGGATATGGGGTTTTAAGGTATGGGTCCAGGGTTTTTGGTTTTGAGTTTTAGGCTTTAGGGGTTCAGGGTTTCGGGTTTCGGGTTTACTCCACCTGTTGCCTCTGCCCAAAACCCACAGCCACCTTAGATCCCAAACCACATACCCTGAAATCCAAACCCTCAGTCATAAGTGCACCCTCAGCCGTCACTAAGCCCTTTAAGCCCTCAGCACACCCTAAGCTAAGCAGCCCTAACCATAAACCCTAAACCATCGGCTTAATGATCCTGAAAGGCCGCCGCTATGAGTTCTGTGCTTGTCGGTATTGCCATCGCCTTTGCCTACTGTTGGCAGATGGCTCTTGCGACTGTCTCGCAAAATATGTGAGTGGCAGTACAGGAACGGGATTAGATAGTAATAGTAAAGTATGTTGTCTTCCTCGCCTTCTTGATTGTCGGTGTTTGTTTCTTTGTTGTCTCTGTCCAGATTCTTCTGAGTTCAGTGTAGGGTTCAATATTTATAAAGGGGGTGGTATTGATAGAAATTTCCCTGGCCCCAAACTTTCCCAACTTTAAGATTTTTGAAGTTTGAGTTCAATTGCGAACCTTCGACTTCCTGGATACGGCTTACCCGTATATTGGAGCCTCAGGGGTTGGTTTTTATAAAGGGCAATGACAACAAAACTCGCCGACTCAAAGATTCGCACAAAAATCTTTATTCGCAGTTGAAATCAGCCTGAAATCCTCTCTTCTCCCTCTGACTACTATTGTACTAATGCTAGTAGTACCATACCTACGACGGCACATCTGAGAGAGGCCAGGGCTAGAATTTTTTTGCGACCCCCAATTTCCGGGACCTTTGTTTTGAGATGGGTCCGCCCGGAACTCGGGGGGGGGGGGAAGGGGAGGGGGAATTAAAGTGAACCTCACATCAAGAGGCAATGTAGCGCAGCATATGAGCTTGGCCATCTCCCCCCCACATTCAGCCTCCTCTAAATTTGTTTTGAAACATCTTTAGGCTAGTAGTACTTCAAATTGGGATACTGTAGTCCGCAGGATATAGCGAGATCATGTTCTCTTGTACTTTGGTTTGCAAGAAGTTCAGACTCCCGAAGACACCCCTTCATCCGTCAGTAAGCCCTAGAAAATCCGAACTGGCCCTAAGGCCAACACTCTTCACAACACTAAGGCCCCAAACCCCTAACCAAAAGCTAAGTGGCACTTTGGGGTAATGAATGGTTTGGCATATTGTTGTACAAGGGAAACTATTCATGAACCGCTTGGGGGGCCTTTAAAGTAGCACCCTGTAGGCAGTCTGTAGGCCCAAACCTGGAATCCCAGAGCCTAGACCGCCTTTAACTGAAAGCCGAGGTGAGCTATAGTCTAAACTCCTTAGAGGGGGGTTATAGGGGAGTATATAGCGGACTATGATAGGGGTGATTAGGGGGAAAACTAGGAGTTCAGACTATAACCCCTATAATCCCTTTTATGTTCCCACTTTCCATTTCATGTTCCATGTTCTTTTCCATTTGGTTCTCCGTTGTCGAGGGGAATATTAGAAGTTTAGATTGGATACTGCCCTCACTCAGTAACAGTTGGATAGTAATTATAATATGGTTATATATAGCCCTTAATAGGACCCCTGATATAGACTGTTACTGGATGGGGGCAGTACCCAACCTAAACCCTAAAAACCCTGAACCCTTACACCCTAAAGCACCTAAACCCTAAACCTCTAAATCCTAACCCCTGTTTATAAGCCCTAAACCCATGAATGCTAACCCCTGACCCTTAAACCCCTAAATCCTGGGGGCAGTACCCAAAGTTTAGACTATGGCCCAGGTGATGCTTGGCACGGTGCCCATCATGATCGCTGCGAACGCGGTGCAGATGCTGGTCATGTTGGGAGCTTCCAAGGCCGGCTTGGGGTTCAGGGTTTAGGGTTGATGGGTTTAGGGTTGAGGGTTGATGGGTTTTGGGTTTAGGGTTTGGGGTTGATGCGTTTAGGGTTGAGGGTTTATGGGTTTAGGGCTCAGGAAGCCCCAAGCCTTAAAGCCAAACCCAAGGGTTTAGGGTTTTTCAGGCTTAAGAAACCCTAAGCCTTAAAAGCCTAACCCTAGGGTTTAGGGTTTCAGGCTTCGGGTTTAGGGCTCCGGTTTGCCAATTAGGGTTTGGGGCTTACCTGGAACCTCTAATGTAGTTCCTTTTTGGATTTGGTATGGTTTTTTGGTTAGGACTCTTATTTTGACTATCAAAAAGGTACTACCTTGGAGGGTCTAGGTAGGGTTTGGGATTTACGGTTTGGGGCTTCGGGTTTAGAGTTATTAGGGCCTAGCTGGAAATGAGGGGAGTTGGTACACAACCTGGAACTTGAACTACAATGTAGGTTTAGGCTTTGGATTGGAGTTTCGGGTCTAGGGTTTAATTAGTTGGGTTTGGAATATTACTTGGGGTCTATACTTTGAGGGTCAGGGCTGTCGAAGCGGGGCATGGGGGGCGGAAAAGATTCTTGCCCAATATGATGCCCCCCCTATGAATACCCTGCCAGCAAGCATGGCCTGCGGAATACTCTTTTAGCAGCGCAGAGCACCCGGTGACAGGTTGACAACGACGGAATCAAGCATGCGGCGCAGATTGTCAGCGACTCCGTAATGAACGCACGGACGGTCCAAGCGCTTGGAGTGGAGAAGAACCTGGTACAGATGTATATCTCCTTGGTGAGCCACCGGGATGTAAAAGCAGTGCGATTTATTGGTGATCTCGTTCTGTTGTTCCGTCCCTCTTGGGTGATAACCCATTGATAGCATGTTCTACCTAAACCCTAGAGGTATGTATAATAATGGCCTTTTATGTTTTTAAGGCCATTCTTTTTACCTACTTTTGGGGCACGCTCGCACCCAAGATTGTTGGAGCATTGGGAACCTGGGCAAGTCCACCCTCTAAATCCTGAATCCACCTGAAGATAGACCCCTGAATATTCTAATCCTTTCTATAGGGACCCCCAGAACGTATCCCTAATTTTGGGAAACCCTAAGCCCTATACATCCTTATGTATCCTTATATACCCCCTATAAACCCCCTTTTAACACCTTGGGAGCCTAGGCAAGTCCACAACCCATTTTAAAACTCCACCTCCTTGTACATATATATATATATGTATATAAGGATATATATATATATCCTTATATACCCTTATAGCCACCCTTAAAACAAAAAAACTGGGAGCCTAGGCAAGTCCACCCAGGGCATGTGGAAACGAAATTTCATGGCCGGCCTCGGCTTCGGCGTCGCTGCCGGTGTCTTGTTGACTCGTTTTTTTAGGATTTTCGGTTTCGGGGCCTAGGGTTTAGGGTTGTAGGAGTTAGGAATATAAGGTTTTAGGGCTTAGGGTTTAGGATTTTGGGCTTGGGATTATAAGTTTTAGGGCTTAGGGTTTAGGATTCTGGGTAGGATTCTGGGTAGGATTCTGGGTTTAGGATTATAGGTTTAGAGTGTAGGATTTAGGGTTGAGGGTTTAGGGTGTAAGGTACGTTCAATATAGTGCCATTTCAATGGTAAGGACTTTAAAGGGACTCCGAATTCGGAAGCTCCCATTTGTCGTTTAGGGTTTGGGGGTCTGGGTAGGTTTATGGGTTTCAGGGCCTATATTGCAAGAAGGGCTTGCTCAACCAGGTGGGACTCGGATTTAGGCTCCCTCTACAGGGATTTCACATCTGCTTGGTTGGGCATCCTTCACTTTATGTGGTTGGACCCCAAGCTACCCTAAACCCAAAGCCCAAACCCTAAGGGTCCAAGTACCCAATAGTAATATAGTTGCCCAAAACCTGTACTATAATTACTATTACCCAAATCCCAAGTACCTTATTATTGGGTACATGGACCCTTAGGGAAAGCCCTAAACCCTGTTTCTGGCCAAGGTTTGATATTACACTAAACCCTAAAGATACCATCAGGTTTAGGGTTCTTGCTGCCATCTTCAAGTTTGGGAGGCTACATGAGCTATAGTCTAAACTCCGTAGTGCGGGGTTATGTACGGTTTAGGGTTTAGGGTTGGCTGCAATGTTGATGTCGAGGGGCTTATGCGCCGCCCACCATCCAAGGTGGGCGGCCTATGCCATGAGTTTAGGATATAAAATCCCTGAAGGGGGGGTTTTATAGGGTGGTATTTCGGGGACGGTATGAGGGGTTACTAAGTGGATACTAGGAGTTTATAGCTACGACGCCATGAGAGCTAAGCTACAAAGGTTTTGCTAGCCACGCACGGAAATAGGGACCGAGGTGTCATGTTCTTCGTCATCGCAGGGGGCTTCTACTACGCTTCTTACCTGAGAAACGCAGGTGTGGCCAGCTTCTTGGCGACTTTGAGAAGGGACAGTGGATGCGAGATATCCTGCGTGGCCTTAAGTGCCTTATGCTTTGATAATTATGACATCCTAGAATTCTAAGATCATACAGGGTTTCTTTCTTAAATAGGAGTTTTGATTCTTCCCTGATAGATGGTTATTGCACTCTGGCTCCTTGGCAGGGGTATTTTGTACTGCTTAAGGCATGGGGTGGGGTGACCGGTACGAATCAGACCAAGTCACCTGGCCCTATTTCTTTTTCGCGGAAGAGGGACTAAGCGATGGTGAAGCCACCAATGTACTTTCAACACTTCAGAGAGTCCTCAGACAGATGCAGCAATTAGTATGACCGTGTGTAAGTAGTTAGTTGACTTGCTGCACTTACCCAAAGGGGAGGTTTGAGAACAGTTTGTGTCTGATGCTCTCCAGTTCCATATTGGGTTTGGGGCTTAGAGTCTTAGAGTTTGGAGCCTGCCAAACATGATTCCTTTTGCTGGGCGTGCTTTTTTGGAAGGTTTGGAAGGGCTTGCGGGTACCCCAGACCCCCCTTAGTAGGGTAAGGGATCCTAATAGTAGGGCCCTTAAAAGGAGGGTAGTCATGGGTCTACGTTAACCAAGGGGGCTGCGCACACGCACCAATTCATTTAGAAGAGCTGAAAAGATCTGGTGATTTCCCTAAATAGGGGGACCCCAATATAGAGCCCAAAATATTATAGTCCTTATTACTGGGATCCCCTAATAAGGGTACCTCTAATTTTGGGAAACCCTTTTGTCTTTGTTCAGAACTAAGCATTGCAGTCTTTTTTCACAGCATACTTTCACATTGCCTAGCTCAGACTTCAGCGACACGATGATGGCCTTTATGGGCATCTTCTACGCCGGCCTAGGCGCGGGTCAGGCTGCTGTGTTGCTTGGATCTCATGCTTACAAGTTCCTGGGTTAGACCTTCTTGGTGTTCTTAGGATTTAGAGCTCGGGATTTAGGTTTTAGCGGGTTTGGCTTGGGGCCTACACCCTGAACCCTAGACCCCATTCATGCTTTTGTGGTTGACGGATTTAGGATCTAAAGGGTTTACGATGAGGGTTTTTCGTGGCCTTTGGGTCATGGTGTTGGGGTTGCTGGCTTGTCCTGGAATATTTGTTTCCAAAATTAGGGGTACCTTTTTTGGGGGCCCCTATAATAAGGATTATAGTCGTTCGGGGTCTAGGGAAACTATTATGTCACTGGATACCCAACTGACAGTATGTACCAAATTTGGTGGGTAGGTATTGGCCTCGGTTTTCAGAATTGTCTATATTAGGTACGGGTGGAGCTTGAGAAGCCTTTGGCTACTTGATTTTTTGCCATGGTGCTGAGAGGATTGTAGACTGTATGCCGGGTGGGTGTGTGGAATGTGCAGGTCCTCTTTTTTGCGGAACATGCCCCCCTGACAATGAAGTGCCGCTGGGAATCCTGAACCCTGAGCCTGGAGCCCCAAATTCCTGGCTTTTGATTGGAAGACACACGGAAACCACCATGTTCTTGATGGCCATATAGCTGCCATAGGAATTTTTGTGCTCCATGCCCTAGGAACAACCAGCAAGCAACGCATGCTTCCACAGCCTGGAACTCAGGTTCATGGGTGATGCAGCCAAAGCCAAGGCGCGAACATGGGAAATTGGGGGTTGGGGGGATTGGGACAGTAGGGAGTTTGGGGCTTTCGGGATTTGGGGTCAGGATTTCTGGACGTAGTTTGGGGATGTAAGATTTGGGGCTTGTGTTATGATGAATTCTGCTTCTTCTGCCCTTCCAAGGAAGCCTCACGCCTCAAAGTTTCTTAGCACACTTCGGTCCAGACTATGCATCCGCATATGGTGGTTTTTTCTCACAGCACGGGTCGCTGATGTGCCTTACATAGGGATATTGCTTGGATGGAACGTCAACACTTCAATGCTAACACCTCAAACCCCAGACCCAAGCCCTAAATACTGCACTCCTGACCCCCAAGCCCCGAAACCCAAAGGCCTTCAATATTCAGCTCCAAACCCTAAGCGCGACAGAGGTTGCCTGCCACGATATGTTCAAGCTTCTGGACCGTGTTTCCAAGACCCTGGGTTCAGGAAGTAAGCTTTCTGCGTATGTTATGTTTGGGCGTCAGGGTTTAGGTTTTAAGGGTGTTTCGGGCTGAGGATTGAGGATTCCGGGTCTGCACTGCATGCTTCAAAGAACTACGGCTGTGCTTCGAGGCTTCAGCGCTTAGGTTTCAGGGTTTGAAGATCTGGGCTTACAGGATCAAGAGCCCTCTGCTTAGGATTAGAACTCTTGATTCACAAGAAGGTGGCCGGTACGCCTATGATCTTCTCCTGGGTTCCCCCAGTCCTCTTCATTCGGCCTTTTGTAAGGGGTAGTTAGGGCTGACTTAAGCTGGGGAGGTAGTAAAGGGGCGCGGGTGGTAAGGTAATCCATAGCCTCTTTTTGACCAAAGAACATCCGTTGAGGCTCACTGAGAGTAATGCAGAAGTCTGAGTCAAAAAAACGTTTGGTCCTAGCATACCTACCCCTAGGGATCCAAATAGCCCAATGTAGGTAATATTTACAGACTTTGTGGCCCAATGTAGGGATTATTTGTATACATGGATCCCTAGGGTACAGTTTAGGGTACTGGACGTAGTCCTCGACCTGATATTTGCGGCCCTAAGCCTTGAACCCTACACCCCAAAGCCCTGAACCCTAACCTCCCCTATGAACCTTAAACCCTCAAACCCCTAAACCTTAAACCCTGAACCCCTAAACCTTCAACCCCTAAACCCCTAAGCCTTACGCCCCTAAACCCCTAAGCCGTAAATTCTTGGTTGAGAGATCCTTGCTTTCCTCCGGTCCAACTGTCGTGAACTCACAACTTTCTGCCTTACATGGATCGGGGCTTGTCGATACTACTATTTTTTTTGAGGGGGGGGCCCTCAGTCGTTGGGGTCGTATTATACGAGCGACAGCAGAACATAAATTGGACGACACCTTGACAAGCTGCCAAAATGTCTGTATACTTCAGCCATGTTCGTTGATGCACATCTGATGATTCGCGGAGGGACAAGCAGTGCATACATAACGGACATATTGCTGTTTTCCGGGCTTTATTCCCTAAACCCTAAACCCTATTTGCTATGCCCTGAACCCAACACCCTGGATTTTCCAACCAGGGGTTATTTCAGACGGAGGTGCAATCCCAGAACGTGTCCAGGCCCAGCTCTTTCATAGATCTGCTCAGGTGCCGCACAACTACGCGCCTTCAGATGAATGTTTGTTCAGAAGCAAATTCCCCTGACACGCCCAAAAGCTCGAAAACTTCCCAAGGCTTCCGCCGTTGAGATCCTTATAATAACTTGTAGGGCTCTTGTCATGATTGTTCCTTGGAACCCTTAGAGTTTGTACCCTTCGGCTGGGGTCCCAACACCATGGAATGAATAGGCCTCTGTGAAGAGACCTAAAGGCCAAGCTTACGAACCTTTACCCTGGGGCTCCATTTCTATAAATAATACCTACATTGGGCCCCAATGTCTATAAATAGTTCCTACATTGGGCTATTTGGAGCCTTAGGGTGAGGGTTTAGGGTTGCAGTCCTTGACATGTGACGGAACTCGTTGTGCAGAAAATTCCAATCAAGGATCGATGGCCTGGAGCCCAAGGGAGAGGAGCCAAAGAGCCTTCACGCCGGGACTATCGAGTTTGAGACTGGGGCTTATGATTTTATGATTTTGGGTTCTTTGTAGTGGTAGCGGTACTTCATTTAATGAGGGGTGATGTAGGGCTTAGATAGGGGTCCTCATGCAGAGTTCAGTGCAATTACAACCAGATTATTTCTGCACTTCGCATTTATTTTAAACCCAGTTCTATGTCTCTGGGTCCCCTATTACGGTTGTGATTGGGTTACGAGTACCAGTTATGTTGCTGATGCTTACCCTAAACCAGGAAGTCGAAAACCTACGTCATATCCATACAGTTTTAGGGTTTAGTGTTTTGGGGGTTAGGGTTTAGGGTAGACTCCCTGTACAGCTCCAATATGGCTCCCGTACATGTGCAAACCTCAAAGCAGGCTGTTTTGGGTCCAGGTCTGTTTGCGAGATTGTAGAGACCATGAGCCCAGGAGAACGTGAAGTTCTTCTACCCTTTCCGTCCAGAGGCACATCGCAGCTCAAATAATGAGGTATGCTTTTACCGTTCCTCCCACCTTTGCACCCTGTATACTGATACCTGGCCCTCAGGCTCTTGGACCCTCAGAATGGGATCCTAAACCTTGACTCCCAACCTTCCCCCTGAAAGCCCCAAATAGCCCTGGGAGCCTCAGGGTAAAGCCTGGATACCTTGGAGCTTGAGCATCCTTGAACTTTGACCATGGAGCGTGACCGCCCAAAGCTTCTGACTCGTTACCAAGAAAGCAGACTTAGGTGGACAAGCAAGTGGGAAATGAAGTTAACACTGAGGTGTTACAAGAAATTATAGGGGTTCTGCAATGTAGGGGCCTCAATGAGTACGCATGTTGTCGTCCTGCTTGTATGGGTAGGGTATAGGTTACTTCCGAAGAGACCTCAAAATGATGTTGGCTGTATTATAGTCATGCTTATGCAGTTTATGCCCCTATATTCAAAAAGTTGATGCTCAGCCTACCATCCTTTCATGTCATCACGGTAGCTTGTTCAAGTATCCGTTGTTTTGCCAGTGTACTGGCTTTCCCTTCGTGTCAAAGGCTCTCCCGCTCACTGATATCAGAATAGGATTCGCATCAACTGTGGTTGTTTCCACAATTCCCCCTTTCTTGGCGCTGTCCCTATAGTAAGAATTATAGTGTGTGGGGATCTATATTGGGGTCCCTCTATTTGGGGAAACTCCCATCGGTGGGAAAGTTTCGAAAAATTTGTTGCAGAGGTGTGTCTGACGTGCTGGGTAGAGGAAGTCTTGCACTTCTTAGGATTCCCTCAAAGACTGCAGTTCCTAGAGTATGAGGTGTGTACGGTGGTGCAAGGTGCAAGATTTAAACCCAAAGATCACCGGAGAAGGGATGACGCTGAAGCTTGCACTCAGTGCTACAGTCCTTTCTGCTGGGAGGTGCAGGTGCTCAAGGGCGTGACCTTCAAGATCCAGGCGCCGTCCCTTGATGGTATAGTACTGGCAGTAGTACTCGTACTTGTGCTAGTAGGCGTAGTTGGCATAGTCGGAGTTGTGATGGGATGTTTGATTAAGGGTTTCAAGAATCACTGTAGCCAAGCACGTCTTATTACCTTCAGCTTCCTCTATAATATAAGTGACATTCATGTCGGGGGTGTCCTGCCGGCTCGTAACACCGCAAATGCAGAGAAGTCTGTAGCACCCGATGTGCGCATGACAAAACGCTGATTGGGGATTTCGATGCTGCCTGGTGATTGAAGACACACCACGAGAAACACGCACCCTTTCGTGAAGCCTGTCAGCCGTTGCTACATCGCAGTGTCTTCCTGGCATTTTTTAAGATAATCCTTATGGCTCCTTAAGAGGAGTACTCCAAAGGCAACCGCGATTTTGAGAAGACTCCTAAACCTTCCAAACCTTCACCCTCACCTCCTTAGCCCTCCCTCCAACCACCTCTACTATGGCCTCACTATCCATTCTTCGAGGCCCCAAAGCCCCAATGGAAGGTACAGGGAGGGTCTTGGTACACTTTCAAGCTTCCCCCGCCCTACCCAAACCTTTAACCCTAAATCCTAAATTCTGGGTACTAACCCAGGGATTATGCCAGGCCGGACAGTCCGTGGGTCTCGTGGGCCCATCTGGAGGTGGCAAAAGCACTGTCACTGACCTTGCATGAGATGGAGCTGTCATGTGAGCCATAGTCTAAACTCTTCAAAGGGCGTTATTTAAAGGATTCTATAGGGAGTATTGTAGGGGTTATTAAGGGGGATACAAAGAGTCTAGACTATAGTTCATGTTCTTGCTGCATTCTACATTTTGTTGGTCAAAAAAGTGACTTGTACTGTGATTGTTACCATTACCAGTACTCTTACCATTGGAGAGCAGGTGGCTGTGGGGCCTGGGTTTTTGAAACTCCATATTTTGTATATTTTACGTATAGGATGACTATCAAGATCTTGAAGCCCTGAACATTCCCCCCAAGTTGCAATGGGCAACCATCAAACCAGAGGT